GCTCACCAGCCTGAGGCCACACGGGTGGCCCAGGTTCAATTCCCAGCCTGCCCTGGAAAGCAGTGCATGTGTGTCTGTGGTCCCAAGTGCTGGGGAGGCTGAGGGAGGTGGATCGTGACATAGTGGGAAAAAGACACACACACAGACACACACACACACACACCCAATAAAAATACATGGGAAAATGACAGCGCCTACACATAGAGGTCATTGAATTAGTGAATGCATTTACCATGAGTACTTTAGCATCATCTCGGCATATAGTCAGTGCTAATACTTCTTTTAGATGGAAGGCTTTTGGTTATCAGGAGCATAGAAACCAACTGAGAATGGCTTAGATACAATAAGGATTTCTTGTTTCATTTAACAAGGGCTCCCAAGTAGGGAGCCTCCAGGACTGCGGATCAGTGGCTCAGATATGTCACCAGAAACTACTTTTTACACTCTGCAGTCTATTCCAGGTGGACAGCCTTTCCTGACAAGCTCCCATCCTGCGAGAAAGATTTACATGTCCTCCAGATGAGGCATTGCGCAGAGGGAAAAAGAAGTCCATCATACTCACTTTTTAGGAGTGAAGACACTTTCTTGAAAGCTCTTCTCTCAGCAGTAGTCTCTCTTTGCCGAGGATCAGAACTGTACCACATATCCACACCTAAACCATTGGCAAAAAGAACAAATTTGACGTGATTGACAAGTTTACCAAAATTTACCCCGATCTCAGAATACAATCACTGGCCCCAGGAATATACGCCCCCTTAAGATGGGAGACGGAACACAGTAGACTGGAATCTGAATCCCTCCTGGAAAATGTAAAACTTGGGACAGATTTCAGATTACCCTCACGGTGTGTGATGGAGCTTATTCCCTTGTTAGGATTAGGCAGCTTCCCACTGTTTGTGGGCCACGGATGCATGTTTTCTGGAGACGAAAATCTGGAGCACATCTGAGAGCCACCTGGAAGGGGTGGAGCTGGGGGTTGTCCAATAGGACCTTCTGAAGAAACAACTGGGACTCAGCAGCAAGAAGCAAGAGGTTGTTGCTTTTCCTTGGCTATCAAGGGAACCCAGGTGATAGAAAAACCCAGCCAGAGATTCCTCCCAATAGCCCTCAAGTGTCCATGAAAAGTCTTTTTTTTTTTTTAATTTTTCAATTGTTCCTTTATATGTTTTATCTTCTTAAGCCCCTTCAATACCAAATACCATAGACTGTCCTTCTTTGACTCTTAAGGTTCTTGTCTTGAATGATTCCAACCTTTTTGTTTCTGTTTGCCTGAAAAGACTTTCTCCAGCCCTTTACTCTGTTCATCTTTATTGGTGAGGTTTCTTGTAAGCAGCATGTGGAAGGCTGTTTGGTAACCCATTCAGCCTATCTGTGTCTTTTTATTGGCGAATTTAACCCATTAACATTCAATGTTATTACTGATATTTGTGGACTTAGCCCTGCCATTTTGTTATTTATTTTCTTAATGGTTTTGTGTTCTCGTTTCTATTTGCTTCTCGTTTGCTTTCCTGATTCAGTCGTCCCTTGAGTATTTCTTGAAGAGCTGGTCTAATGCTGGTAAATTCTTTCAGTTTTCATCTAGGAATGATCTTCTCTCTCATTCCTATTTAAAGGATAATCTTGCCTGGTATAGTATTCTTGGTTGAATGGTTTTCTTTCAGGGTTTTAAATGTGTCTTCCCATTCTTTCCTTATCTGCACTGTTTTAGTTGAGAGGTCTGAAGCTGTTCTGATGGGATCTTTTAAATGAATTGCCACTCTCTTACCAGTTTTAGAATAGTGTCTTTGATTTTTACCACTTTGTCTATGTGCCTTGGAGAGGACTTTATGTTGCTTCTACCTGATGTTGTCTGTATTTCCTGAGTCTGGATATGTGTTTTTCTAGATTTGGAATGTTTTCAGGTAGAACTTAATGAACAAGATTTTTTATAATTTTTACCCATCTCCTTGCCTTTGGGAATACTCAATAGGCAGGTATTTTACTGTTTAACGGCTTCTAGTATTTCCTGTAAGTCGTCCTCATTTTTATTATTTTTTCTTTCTTTCGGGCAGCTTGGAGTAAGCCAGAGGTTTTGTCTTCAAAGTCAGAGATTTTTTCTTTTGTTTGTTTTAATCTGCTGTTAATGCTTTCAAGGGAGATTTTGATTCCCTCTGGAAGTCGATGGCACGACCTACCCTGGTGCACTGAAACAGTTTGCCTTGTCCCCACCAGTGTACCCCATCACCACAGATTGAGAGAAGGTGGAGGAGCAGCTGCACCGTGGGAGGGGCAGGCCCCTATGCTGGCACACCCTCTTAGAGGGCACTCTCCTGGGGAGAGCCCCACAGGATGGGAGCCGGGAGGGGGTAAAGCATGGTGATGGGGAAAAGTCATCTTTAAGTGTCTGCCAGCCCCAAACAGCCTGAAGTCATCTGTGACTTTAAAAATCCAGTAAGAGGGACCAGCAGGTAGCTTGGGGTTAAAGTGCTAGACTCCCACATGGCTAACCATGGCTCAAGGCCTGGACCAAGGGGCTTGAAAAATCATGCGTGGCATGTGTATGTGTGTGCTTAAAATCCCAGGAGAATGGAGGTGAAGGGGTTATGGGATGGCCATCCCCCCAGTGGGTGATTTCTCACTTTACTTCTGTCTCTGTTACTTTCCCTATGGGGAAAAAAAAAAAGTAAAAAACAACAATAAAAACACTCAAGTAAGAATTTTCTTGCTCCTTTTACCTCTTTTATCCCCAACTCCAACCCTGGAGGTGTCAAAACTTCAGTTGGCAAGTGAGGGGAGAGAGAGTGGACAGAGTGTAAGAAGATGCCAGACCTTTCACCCAGGCTTTTAACCTTCCTTGGGGCCTTCCAGAGAACACAATAACTCTAAATCGGAATGAAATGGGAAGCTTTACCCATTTTCTAGGACTAAGTATTCTACATGGTAATTTAGGACAGCTATGTAACTTACAGTGCCCAGAACAGTAATGAGGTCTGCCTAATTTTTTATCTAGCAGCAGAAGCATTAACTAGTTCTACTGAGCAGGTGACAAAACAAGGCTGCTTGTATGATTACACTCTAAGTCCTGCTTGTTAAATATATAATTTAAACTTACAATAATTCACAAATTTCATAAAAAAGGCAGGCTTGGCTTAACTTAAACTTCCCTATAGGCCCAACAAGTGGCAAGATAAGCACAATAACTGTAGACAGAGTTGAAAATGGTCACTAGTAGAGATCAAGAAAGAAATGCTTAGTAGAGAAAGATGGGTAGTGGAGGTGTGTATGAGAGAAACAGCGTGGAACTGAGAACTACCATTTCATAAGTTATTTATCAATAATTCCTCAAATTATACCTATATATAACTTCAGTAATTATTATTATTTTTTAAATCCAGTTAAAAGAACTATTTTATAGGCCAGTCAGTAGCATGGTAGTTAAAGTACTAGAGCCAACATGGCCAACTGTGAAGTTCTAGTCCTAGACCAGGTAGCTTGAAAAATATGCTTGGCATGTGTGGGTACATGACTAAAATTCCATAAGGAGAGAGAAATAGAGAAGGGATTACAGAGTGTTCATCCCCCATCAGGTGTTTTCTCATCTTCCCTTCCATCTTCCATCTTTGAGTCCGTGGGCCTCTGGCAAATTAAAAAAAAAAAAAATTGTTTTTACTTTACATCTTTTTCTCTAGGTTCTTTTTTGGCATGGGGTGGTTGCCCTTGTCAGAGAGAGGGAAAATGAGAAAACACTCCCATGGGGAGGATGGCCAGACCACAATCCCTTCTCTTCCATTCTCCCCTTGGGATTTTGGACATGTATGCAAATGTGCCAGGTGTGATTTTCAAGCTACTAGGTCTGGGACTTGAACCATGGTTGGACATGTGGGAGAGTCTAGCACTTTAACCATCATGCCATCTGCTGGCCCCTTACTTTATATCCTTGACCTTACCAATCCCTGTTTCCTGTTTCCTATTAGGGTATACTGTTAGTTTTCTTTGGTCTTTTTTTGTTTGTTTTGTTTTGCTATAGAACAAGTATGCTCAATGGAAAGAAAGAGAAGGAAAATGAGAAATTGTGCCCCAGGGATGGCCACACTGTAATCTCTTTTCCATTCTCCTCTTAGGATTTTGGGCACACATGAACACAAACAGGGCATGTTTTTCTTTCTTTCTTTCTTTCTTTTTGAGAGATTTTTGCTATAGGGCATATGCGCTTGCCAGAGAGACCGAAAGTGAGAAATCACCCCCCAGGGGTATGGCCACACTACAATCCCTTCTTCAGTCTCCTCTTGCAATTTTGGGCAGACACACACACATGCCTGGTATGAGTTTTAAGCCACTGTGCCCAGGACTCAAACTGCGGTCGACTATGTGAGAGTCCAGCGACGCAATGATTACACCATCTGCTGGTCCTGCCCAGCATGTTTTTCAAGATGCCAGTCTGGGACTTGAACCATGCAATCAATCATGCGGGATCCAGTGCGTTAACCATCATACCACCTGCTGGCCCCACAGTATAGTTTTAAAGGTTTACTTAACATCATGAGAAATAAAAGGAGATTGGGCATTAGGAACACTGAAAGCCTATTAGATACATATACAATTTTCCTTCATGCCAGTTACAAGTTTACTAATGACAAGAATTTTCACTCCCTGATTTAAAGGTTTTTTTTCTTCATGCAATTACAATCTGAGAGAGGAGAAATAAACTCCAAATTGTAAAATGTTGTGCTCTACTTAGATATGGAAAAGTTAAAAATCAGGAACCTTAAAGAGAGCATCTAATAAAAGCACATACATGCAATTCTATGAACAAAGATCCAAAACTGTCATTTCACTGTTTGATTGCATACGGAACAAAATATTTGTGTCCGAGTATAATCAGCTTATAGGTAGCTTAAATGTGATCAATATTTAATGGGATATTGCTATATTTAGCTTTTAAACTTTTAGCCAAAACTTAAATCTGTTAAGAGATTAGTAATAAATTTCTGTTTTCTTTCAAAGGACAGAAGAGCCAATAATTAATAAAGACAAGTGTTCAGATTTATTTGGAAATTCACAGTTTCTAATGGCACTACAGCTCCGTAGTTACATATTCAAAGTCCTCTTTCCACAACACACAGATGGTGAAACCTCCCACCCTACCTCTGCTCTCCTCTGGACCTCTTTTCAAGGGGCTTCTATACAATTCCCCTCTTGCTCTGAATGGCTAATTGTGCAGACTGGAAAAAAAAAAAGTTAAATCTTCTACAACATACTGTTGACACAAAGCAGCAACTTAAACAAAAAAGGCTTTAAATAAGTCACATTACAAATAATACCTAAGAAAGGTATTAGACAAGTTTAAAAACAGTTATTACTAAAAGTGCTCAATAAGTTATAACTTAAATCTCACAACACAAAATAGTCAATTCTCTCTTTCACAAAGAAATACGTCCCACTTGCACTCATTACTGTACAAGCACACACTAAGAAATCATTTTATTCAAATAGTCACTGACAATTATTTTGTTAAAGAAAAAAAAAAGACAAACGAAGACAGACACATTGATACCACACATGTATCTCTGCACATCTGTAGCCAATACGAAGCAAACATTAAGGAATAGTCATCCCTTTAGACTTGCCCAATTAGACAAGGCTTAACAAACTCACTAGCTGGTTCTGTGCACATGTATATAGGCAGTGATTATGAGACCTGGACGCATTCGCCAAACCTTCGAACTTTATATTTATAGTAATAGAAAATAGTGATGTGAAAGTTTGGAGGACTAGTGTTTACTGTGAATGTTTAAAATGTAATGAAGCTAAAAAAAAACCTTCACAGATAGTTTAATGTGTTTAAAAGGTAAATTTATCAAAAATTTATTACAAATACTAGTTACTTGCAAAAAAAAATCTGTAGCTTTTTTTTTTTCTCATTGAGTTAGTAACTAAGGAAAAAGTAATCCAGTCCAAATAAGTGAAAAAGAAAAACAAAAACAAAAACATTAACAGCATCACCATTTACCTTAAAGAATAGATTTTTCAATTCTAGCAAGTGTGTATTTCCAGTGAGTTTGCTAAACAGAAACCTAGTTGGCAAGTCTTCAGGATCTTTACACTGTCTGACCCACATTCTGAGCTTCAGGCATAGACCACCTTAAAGCCTTGTAGTGTTTGCAGCTTCAAGAAACTAACAAAGTTATAAAAGAAATCAAATGACAGAAAAAGTTCTCCCTCCTCTTCCAGTGGCATTATAAATAGACAAAAGGCACATAAATATGGGAAGGTGCAAGAACTAGGAACAAAGCTAAAGGAAGAGGTTTAGGCTTTCATTCCTATCCCACCCAAGGAACTGGGTTTCCAAATTACTTTTGTCCCAGTAATTAATCCGTGAAAAATCATTTTATAAAATATCTACCATTGTCCTTGTAGGAAGTGATCAGCCTTGTAAAACTGCAGCTCATTAACCAAGATTGACACAATCCCATCTACTTTTTAAAAAGGCAGAAACCATAATTTCTAAATATTTTTCCCATTAATATTTTCTCCCTCCCCAAACCCACCAAATACCACAGACTGTTCTTTTAAGAACAACAAAAAAAGTCTCCAGTATGAAAAGTTCAATGAACTTTAGATATGCCCCGAGACTGCTGTCACACCAAATGTTCCCACGGTGAGTTCTTTGTTTCCTTTGATTATGTCATGCAGGCTCGGCAATGATCCCGACTTAGTCTGTATTAGAGTTTTTATCAATTTTCCTTGGTCTTGGACTTTAGATCGCCTTCGTTTTAAAGCCCTCTTTTCAGTTTTTGTCTTTTGGGACTGTCCATTGCACAGACTTGTGCAAGCTGAAATGCCACAAAAATAGGACTCTTCTGACTGTGATGAAGTTTCTGAGCTTCCTTCAGATGGAGGACCCTTATAAGAAGAGTGGTAAACTTCTCCCATATTGGAGAAATCTCTCTGGTTCGTAAAGGTCTTCCTTCCTTTTATATCTCCATTGGCTATAGGGTGCAATGGATCCGCAGGTTTTATGGTCTCAATTCTTTCAGTTTTGTATTTGCAGCGTTTCTTCTATCACACAAGTAAAAGAAAGGATAAGAATTAGACCTCAAAGTTACCTTATCAAACATCTAGAGAGCTGAGCTAATGAAAGAAACTGCCACCTCCTGGAGAAAAGGAAAACAGTATTGCAAATAGCATATATATGTACATATACACAGCTATGTTCTAGGAAGAACCATTACCACTTCTGTTTTTTGTAAATACTACTCAATCAAAACACTTTAAATTGCTTACCTACCACCTTGAATATATTATAGATTGAGGGAGTGATAAATAACATCTGAATAACTACTATGTGCCAGGTATAATGGCTGTTTTCATGTATTATTTGAGAAGCAAAATGTCTGAAAAAGCATTCTTTGAGGCCAAAAAAATTCCAGGCACATTGTGAGTTAGGCCACCTTTTCAATAGGTCATTTGGAGAAGATGCAAAATTCTTTTGAGTTTCAGTTTTTCATTTAAAAAACAGGGATTACACCATCATCAGCCTACTATGAGAATTAGAAGCATGGTGGATGCAGAGTGCCTGTAATTCTCAGTGCATTCATTGTACCTGACCTGCATTAGACAGTCAATAAATAATGACTATCGACCAATGATCAGCTAACTTTTTCTATAAAGGATAGCAAATATTTAGGCTTTACAGGTCACATAATGTCTCTCTTATATATTTCCCTTTGTTTTATTTTATAAAAATTAGAAAACCTTGCTAGGCTCCCAGCCCATACAAAATAAGCCACAGGCCACAAATGGCCTAAAGGTCAGTTTGCTGACTTCTGTGAACACTGACTTACACCATTATTACCATGTCTGAAAATAAACAGTAAGTTAAGTACTATTTAATGGTTATATTAATTCTTTTAGCCAACTGAAAAACTTAAAAAGAAACAAAATACTACCTTTTTTTCTGGAGAGAACTTGAGGGGTTCTACGATGTACAGATCATTTGGGTCTACTATAAGTAAGAAAAAAAAAGGTGTAAAATGAAAGTGGATTATGCTATAACTAAACACTAAGCAATGAAATGGCACCCCTTAGTGATTAATATAATCCACAGATTCTTATTTATAATACCATGTTAATTATACACTTATGCATTTTAAATTAATAAGTCAAAAGAGGCAAAATGAGAGATGGTACCACTCTTACTGTAAATTTGTCACCTTGAAATAACTATGCTTCCTTGTTTTTAATGAATAGGTAATTACCAACCAGCACAGTAACAGACCTGTTTTGGGACCAATACTACCCTCTTACCTGATGAGGAAAAAAACATTACTGGATAAGCTAACACCAAACCTGCAGACAATCTGCAGTGTTGCAAAGGTGGATTAACAACATGCAACAAGCAGTTGTGATCATATATAAAAGCCAGTTTGAAAAGATCCACAAAATTCTTATTATAATTCTTTACTAATTGTTTATTACAATGATCAAAACCAGGAACTCCAAAATCTAAAATATTCTGAACATGCAGTATATATGACAAAGCAACAGTGAGCAGATACTTCTGGCATAGTGAGTATGTTAGACCAATTAGTTCTAGCTCGATGATTGCAAGATTTCATTACTCTAACACATATAAGACACCTCTACTCCACCCCCACAGTAACAGGATAAATATACACAGCAGAGGGACCATGACACTTTAGTTCTATTCAACTCATTATAAGTAAACAAGAGGACAACCCATGGCCTGTTGATTAAGGGAGCTGGGTCCTGGATCTGACAGCTTGAGAAACATGCCGAGTGTATATGCATGCATGTCCAAAATCCAAAAAGGAAGGAGAAATGGAGAACTGATTATGGAATGACCATGCCCCACAGAAGGTGCTTCCTTGACCCAAACCCCCAACTCCAGTCTCTCTCTAGCAAGTGCCCATGCATGTTGGCAAAATTTTTAAAAATAAAAATGAGGGAGTCAGATAGTGACATGGTGACACGGTGTTAAAATGTGATGTTCTGCAAGGCTGATCCATATAGGAAGGTTCCAGGTTTGTGTCCAGAGACATCCCTGAGTATGCCAGGCACACATGGCTATAATCTGGGGCTGGCTAAAGCTGGGGGGGGGTTCTGGGGGGGGCGAAAAGGGGGGGGGGGGGGGAGGGTCACAGCATCAAGACGTACAGAGGCTGTCTTTCTGTCGATCTTTTTGTCTCCTTTGCTCAGGAAAGAAATAAAAGTAAATTGTTTAAAGACCAAAAGCGATAGAACTATGTTTTAAGTACCAAATTCACTATAAAATCTTGATATACTGGAGATGTTAACAACATAATTCAACTAGTTATAATATTTTACATTACGTCCTACAGATTTCTTAAGAAAGTCATCAAAGATATAAAAATATCCAACATTCCTCCAAATAATCATTTCCATCAAATTACTAATCTCAAATTACTTTTTATCATTATCTACTATAAAGAATGGTCATGTCACCCAGATCAACTTCTTCACTAAAAGCAACTACATCTGATGGCTCTTTTTTTTTTAAAGAATTACTTTAATTTATTCATTCATTTATTTATTTTAATTTGACCAGAGAGAGAGAGAGAGAAATTGAGAAAGCAAGCCACCAGGTCTGGGACTTGTACCATGGTCAGCCATGTCAAAGTGTCTAGTGCCTTAACCACTACGTCATCTGCTGGTTCTCTGATGGCCGTTTTTGTGTCTTTTTTTGTTTTGTTTTGTTTGTTTGTTTTTAAATCACCAAAAGCATCGAAGATGCCAAGCTAATAGGTAATTCCCAGCCCAAAACTGATGGAAAAGTAGGAACCCAGATAGACAAGTGGAAACCAAAAATTATCATTTTCCCCCCTGCGCATTTACCAATTCAAAAATACATGAACTTTGGCTGTAATGGTATTATAAGAGAATAAATCACAAGTCAGACATAAGGATCAACCCAAAAACGGGTCTAAGAAGTCTAAGAAGCTACCTTCTCCCTCTTCACTTCACTTAAGCTGGGACTCCAAAGCAATAAAGCCTCTGGGAAAGAATAAAGCTGCACATGGACTTGTAGTCCAACCCCATCACCAATGGGGTGGGTCCAACAAACCTCCTGAATGCAGAACGTTACATGAACAGAGACAATTTTCTTTGCAATAAAAGCCCTCAAATTATCCCTACAATTTTTTGAAAAGGAGTAACACACAAAGACAACACACTTGAGCAAGTGTCTACAAAAACAATTAATGAAAAAAGATTCAAGACCTTAGAATTATCAAACATATACTATAAAGACAATTGTATTCTCTATGTTCAAATGGAAAACAAGCTTGAAAATATCCGCAGGAAGCATAAAACAAAACAAAGCAAAATCTGTATGTTATATTTAATGGATGTATTTAATAATGAGACTAGCCACAACTTACGACTGTGTGGCCTGGAAGACAGATCAGAAGAAATCATCCAAAATACGGCACAGAGTGGTAAAAAAAAGGAAAGTTTATGAGACAGAGGGAATAAAGGGAGGAGGACACATTTAATTAAATTGAAGAATCTAAGAGAATAGGGTAGAGGTTAACATTTTGAGAAAAACAATGCCTGACAGTTTTCCTGTACTGATGAAAGAGACTTAAAGAGCCCAACAAATCTCAAATGAAATGAAAAGACTGACAAAAAACAAATTAAAAAAAAAAAAAAAAACCAACCAGGAGAATAATATTTTAGAGGTTTATGGGAGGTAATGACAAATGAAAGATTTTAGAAAGAAGAACTGAAGAAAAAAGAAATAAGTAAATACATGGGTAAGTTTAAATGACTGTTAAATGTAATAAGTATTCATACTTTGATAAGTTAAATAAAAATTAAATTAAAATATGTAAGAACAATAATGTATAAATTAGACTAGGGACAAATAAGAGTTTAGTTTTAAGATCTGGGTCTTGTTCAAGAGGAATTAAAAACAATTAATTAACTTCAGACTTTGTTAAGTACTTCTCATTTCTAGGGTAACCAGTATAAGGACAAAAATTATGAACAGGTTCGGCCTGTGGCAAGTGGTTAAGGTGGCTGGATCCCATGTGGTTGACTACATGGATGAGTCCTGGGTCCAGTGGCTTGAGAAACACACCAGGTGCATGTGAACACATGCCCAAAATCCTGAAAGGAGAGAGACAGAGAAGGGGTTTTTGGTTCGACTATTCCTCATGAGGTATGCTTTCTCACCTGCTCCCCCTCTCCCTCCTCCTCTGTCTCTCTCCAGTGAGTACGTGCACTCTCTGGCAGAATTACAAAAAACAAAAAGCACATACAACTTCAAATCTAAAGACAGTAAAAGGAAAATATCCACTTCTTCCCTCTTAAGAAAAATCTCAGGTCAAGAAAGGGGGGAAAAAAAAGCAACAGTTAATAGGCAAAAGGTAAGATGGGACCACCTTTAGGTGAAATAGATAAATTCCTAAAATTAATCATTTAAAATGATAAAAAAACCCAGTTCCTATAATCTCAATTAAAGGCACTCAACTCCCTTTAAAAGAAAATTCCAGACCTACATGACTGATTCAAACAAGAAATAATCATAATCTTATTGCCCATTTCACTTATATAGTTTTAAATAGTGAAATCCAACATGAGAAGTAAAAAACTACATGCCAATGTTATTCATGAATGATAGATGCAAAATACCTAAATAATTATGAAAGTTATGTAAAAATAACAACATATTCAAAACTTACATACATATATGAAGGGTTTTCACAAAGTTCAAAAGATTGTGAATTAAAAACTATGTATAGATTTCAAAATTTTTCACACCAAAATAAATTCATAAATTCCATTTTCCATTAACATTTTGAAGTCCCATGCATGCATATTATCAATTGGTGTTTAAGAATACAATAAAAAATCACCATCAGAAAGTCAATCAATATAATTCATTTCTATAACATTAAAATGATTTTTAAAAGAAGATAAAAAAAATATTTAGCAAAATTAAACAAATACTCATGGGAGAGGGGAACTATGGGCAAACTAAGAATAGAAAAGAACTTCCTCAGATAAAGGGTAGCTACAAAATATCTATGGAAAATATAGTATCTACTACTAAAACACTAAAAGCTTTCCCTTTGGGAACAAGGCAAAGGTGCCTGCCAACCACTTTCATGTAACGCTGATAAAAATGCATCATGGAGAAGCAAAGGAAATAAAAACACTAAGGACTGGGAAAGAAGAAACAAAACTGTCTTTATTCTCAGAAAATGCTCCTGCATCCAAACGCACTGTAAACATCCTGTAAACGCATTATACCAGTCGAACAACACTGCTGCACATAAAAGTCAATACAAAAACCTAGGGCACTGGGCCAGTCTGCTGAAATATGCCAGGCATATGTATGAGTGCCTAGGATCTGACAGGCTAGAAGACTGAAGGAAGGGTAGAGTGGTGTAACCAGAACATTGGAGGGTACTTCTCTCTCTCTCACATGTGTACACATATTCTCTATCATGGACAAACAAAAATACAAAGATAAAAACAAAACAAACCTAGTATCTAGTTTAGCTTGTAAAAAGCTCAGAAGTTGCTACTCCACTCTACAAAGTAATAAAGAAAAATTGAACATACTGAAAAACCAAAACTCTTAGATTGATCAGAAATGTGAGGTCACTCGAAATGTGGAGAGACTGACAGGTAAATACAGAGAATCACAACTTCACAGAGCAGAAACCAGAAGCAAAAGCCTCTGAGGGAACAGTGCCAGGTATGGAAAACTGTACAGTAACGAATGAGTTGCTTGAAAGCTCAGTGTGGATAAGACTGGAAATTAAAAACTCCAGGGACACCTGGTCATAGAGGGGAGGGGACTCTCAAATTTTTGAATTTTACCTCCAGGGGCACTACCAGATCCATGTTTTAAAATACACCAAAGGATTCTGTTCTTGTTAATAAGATCTGCCCTCAGAAGAAATTAGAGTCCAGTGTTAAGAGTTTCAAGAGAAACTAACCTACCTGGAGGAAGGGAAAAACCCAACTCAGCTCCCTCTAATCAACTGTCCCACCTAAGGAGAGTGAGGTGGCATGGAGTGGGGGAAAGGACTGAGAAAACTGGAGAAGTTCACAGTTTAGGGGCACAGCTTCCCTCACCAAAAGACTAAGATCTACCTAACCACAAGACTACAGAATGCTTTTCTTACCACACATCTTACCACTACATATTACTGAAGACCTATTTACCCCCAATGTCATGACTACCTTTTAATTTAAAAAAAAAAATGAGAGAAGAAATAAATGAACTTACTAGTAACAGAAGAAAGTGAATCTCCTGCTACTGTACTCAAGCTTCTTTACTTGTAAAGATAAACCAAAATCACATCATTGTTTAAAATGGAAGTAATTACACCATTAGGTGCAAACGACTACCTCTATTTGGTCTTAATGAGTCAGATAATGATAAAAGAAACAGTAAAACAACTATGATTTCACTTAATTTTAAAATGAGACTTGAAGTGCTATGAAGGAAAAATATCTCTAACATAATTGCATGAATAGCTCAAATAAGCTATGCACATATACCACCAGAATGGCTAAAAGACCAAAAATACTAAATGATAATTAGGATGCGGAACAACTGGAACTCCAATTCACAGCTGATGGATGGCACATTGAAATGACACTCTAGAAAACTATGTTACAGTACCGTCCAAAATCGAACAAAATATGCGGTATGAGCTACCAATCTCATGTCCTAGTGTACATCCTACAGAAATGCAGACATGTACTACCAAAAGATACATAATAGCTTCAAAATTAAAATAATCCAAGTATAAATGACAAATATGCAGCATATTTATATAATGGACTGCTACACAGGAATGATAATAAACAAGTGACTACACTCAGTGGCATGGCCAATCTCTTATTATTTGAATGTCAAAATACTGACTACCCGGGGGGAGAGGAGAGTAGGTAGTGACTAAAAGACCACAGGGATGTTTTTGAGGTACTGGATAATGTTCTGTTTCTTAACTTTGGTTTATATTCATAGGTATATTCAATTTATAAAAATTGAGCAAGTTTTTTTTTTTTTTTTGAGAGAGAGAGATTTTCACTATAGGGCGCGTGGCTCGCCAGACAGAGAGACATAGAGACAGAAAGCGAGAAATCACCCCCCAGGGGGGATTGGTCACACCACAATCCCTTCTCCTCCATTCTCCTCTCGGGATCTTGGGCACACATGCACACGTGCCCGGCGTGAGTTTTAAGCCACCGGATCCGGGACGCGAACTGTGGTTGACTACGTGGGAGTCCAGCGACATAGCCATTACACTAACTACTGGTTCCAAAATTGAGCAAGTTTAAATATAATAATTTTATTTTCTTGTATGTAAACTTCAACTAAAAGTTTCATTTATGAAAAGACATAGCAAACAAAAGAAAAAGAAAGACAAAGAAAAGAAAAAGAAAAAGCAGAAGGAAGAGATTTACTAGTCCTAGGTAAACATACATGTAATGGGTTATGTCTATAAAGCTTTGTGATAGCAACAAACTAGTGAAGCTCAGCATAATTACCTGAATGAATTAATCAACTGGAATAGCCAATGATTATTATGAAAGCACCCCTAATTGAAATATATAATTAACTTAGTTGTTTTAATATTGTTATGAAGACAAATTTCTAAGTCTCTTAATAAGCACTATTTACAAAGGTACTAAAATAGGAAAATTGCCACTCAGTACACAGCCATTGATTCATTAAGTATTTACTGAGTGTTAGACAATGAAATCTAATTACAGACTCTGGGGTTACAGAAGAGAAAGACCAGATTTTTGTTTAGAAAGTGCCTCAGAGTCCTAAGCTAGAGATAAAAGGGGTCCTACCTGTATAGGAAGAGGAGGCAGATAAGCACAGGATGCTATGGGAGCACATTCAGGTTTTCCATATCTGATGAACTTTCTCAAACATCCCTTTCTAAAAAGAAATACTTCTAAACAGGAGCATGTGCAAACAAAGCTACCAATTGCTAATTTAATAAACTACGTCCCCCTCCCCACCCTTCGGGCTTTTAGGAACAAAGATAGATATAAAATGTGAAAATGATAAAGTGACTGATAAAGCACAAAGGTTATGCATATCCATTTTTCGTTGCAGATGGTCTGGAACACACGACACTTAGGCCAGAAATAAGCTACTTTCATGTTTACAAACACATTTTACATAGCCACAGAAATTTACCTTCTTGGCCAGTTAATTGTAGAGACTTGGATCTGATGAGCGGGAATGAAGTTTTCCTTTTCAAATTCATATCATCATAGGAAGAGAAACACCTACACATTAAGGAAAAAAATCAATATTGGACACAATGAGTAAACTATAAATAATTTCCTCTATAGCTGAGGCTAAATGGAGGCAACTGAGAACTGTACATATCAACCACATAGTACTAACTCTAGACTCACACTCTAGTTATTGTTAATACAAATAAAAAAAAGTAAAAGATCTTTATCTACAAGGTACTATATTAAAATACCTATTTCCCTCTCCTTTGAATTCCACATTTGAACATCTTTCTCAATGGGAACATTTGATTTTATGCACACAATTTGTGTTTTCTCTATTATAATTTACAGAGCCACCCAGCAATAAGACCACCTTACTATCCCACTGATGTTTTTAACATCTTGGTTTCAAGAGATTCTTGCTGGGAAAGAAATCACCTTTGTGTCCCTTTATTTGCTAAATATTGATCAGAAATATAAAAAGCATATATATGAAATATTAAAAATAAAAATATTAAATATAATGCTAATTACCTTTTAGGGCTTGGATATTGACTACTTTTAGGAAGCTTTGAAATATAATCTCCATCAAATTGAGAAGTGTTTCGACAACGCTGCATACAAAGCATCAGTCCCAAGACAACACAGAGAACCAAAGATATCACAAGATAGCTTTGTCGATCTGAAACCTGAGAAGAGAGTTAAATAATAACAATTATTATTATAAATCACATTGGGAAAAATACAGTGGTCTCTTATAGTCAAAGGACAAATCATTCTAAATATTTTTAAATGTGCTTCAAAACCATAAAGGTGGGATGTGCTGTTTGAAAAATTAACTATTAAAGCAATGTTTTTCCTTTTTCTTCTCCCACCCCCAATTCTTTCTTTGAAAAATTTTAAATCTATGGAAAGTTTTAAGAACAGTACAGCAAACATACTGTGCCTTTCATCTATGTTCACCAACTGTTAACATTTTATCACATTTGGATTGTCTTTACATTTGCATCAATTTACTCCTGGGTACAGGGAGCAATTACTCTCTCATCCCATCTTTACCATTCCATCTATGAAACTGAACGATCAATCCCTCAGTTACTTAGCTGAACACCTGCAGATCATCCTTAATTCCTCATCCCCACATACCCAATCTTTCAGCAAGTCTTGTCATTCTACCTCTTCAACACATTATAAATCTAACAGTGTCACATTATCCTCCACTTCTGAAGCCAACCTCATTTAGCCTCAGCCACTGCAACTGCCTCCTGATTGGCTTCCTGTTGCTTCTGCTCTTGCTTCTCTACAAAGGGCAATAAGCGGGGAGTTCCTCAAACTGTTACTTATTAATGAGATGATCTGTATCCCTTCTTTACCTAGTAATGTCTAGTGACTTTCAATGATTAGAATAAAATTCAAACTCTGAAAGCCTATGAAGTCCCACATGGCCTAGCCCCTATCAATATCCTGAACCTATTTCTTAGCCTCACTTCTCTCAACTTTCTGCCCTTAAATACATCACACTGTTTGAACCTCAAGTTCTGTGTCCTAGTTCTGCTAGCAAGTTCTCAATCCAGGCAATGTATGACTGCCAGCTCCCTCAGGAGCACTTAGTTCTAAAGCCACCTCCTTGGATAAAACTTCCAAGATCACCCCACCTTAAAGCAGCATCTCTCATCACCACCACCCTATATACATACATTCTGTTCTTTCATTCTCTTACCATGCAGAGAAATTACCATCTGTTTATATATTTATAACATACATTCTATCCCTCCCCCAGGATGTAAATCCTGTCTATTCACTGCTATGTGCTCCCCTCATCAACAGGTTTCAATAAATATTTGTTAAGTCAATTGAATTTTTGCTTTATTAAGCAACTTTATGGGCCTTTTTTAATTTTATGAACAGAAAATTAAGTCCATGTTGTTGCTAATAATCTTTGCAAAAGGCCTACTAGGATAGCTTTATACCTGTATTATAGGCATAAATTATGAAAGCCACATTCTGGCTTTCTGAAATGTTCTCTCTAAATGATAACTCTTTTTGGCTATAGTTTTTAAGTTACTGCATTCATGTTAACATGTCTGCCTTTATGACAATTTCCATACATGCACTACATCTTACAATACTAGCAGTAACAATTACCTCTCGTTTTAGCTCTGTTACTGTTGTTGACAAGTTTGAAACAAGCTGTGTCATGTTAGTCAGCTGGGCCTGTAGCAACTGGATGGCTTCAGTTTGCCGCTGATCCTATGATGAACAAATAAGTATTATTTTTCTTTGTGTATCATCTATACATTAACTACATTATAAAGTCAAGAAAAATAATCTGGAAAAGTTATTGAATTCTTTTAAAATAAATGCATTAATAAAAAGATCTTAATCATCATTAAGACTTGGTCCAAAAAAAACAAACTACCCCTCTCTTTGGGACCAGCAGTTGGCGTAATGGCTATGTCGCTGGACTCCTATATAGTCGACCGCGGTTTGCATCCCGGACCCGGTGGCTTGAAACTCACTCCGGGCATGTGTGCGTGCGTGCCCAAGATCCCGAGAGGAGAACAGAGGAGAAGGGACTGCGGCGTGGCCATCCCCCCGGGCTGTCTTTCTGGCAAGCGCACATGCCCTATAGCAAGAAAACTTCTCAAAAAAAAAAAAAAAAACCGATTTGGTCATAATTTTAACAAACAAAGCACTTCAAGAATCTGAACACTGTATTTAATCTTTCTTTTCAATTGTTTTTCCCCAATCATTGCTACAATGCAGAATACTGTGTAAGTTAGGCTGATAAATTATTTTTTTAAGAGGTTTTTGCCATAGGACGCGTGAGCTCTCACCAGAAAGACAGTCAGAGACATAGAGACAGAAAGC